AATGTTCCTCTACCATCTATCAAATGATGCTGAGCGGGGAATGGAAACAGAAAATTAACAAAACCTTGGTCTTATAAGCAAACAATACGTTTATTATTCACCTTATACATCTTATTTGGCTTGACAGGCCAGCAGCACTATATTGTGGAATTGATTCAGTTAATAAAAATGAATTCTGAGTGTGACACTAGAATCAATATGAAGAGTTCTTGCTCATCTTCAGAACTTTCTTCTGAACGGAATTTGGGAGCAGCGGAGAACTGGTTTACCCAACTGCAGGGTTTTGACACTGAAATGTTTGCAAAATGGGATTTCTGAAAAAAATAACAGGAAATTCCAGTTTCATGGAAAACAAAAAACTTCAAGAACCATGAACTGGAGCACATCCAAAATAAAGCTTTGTCTTCTTATTTTGCCTCCTAAATCTTAATTAAAATTGCTCTTTTTAATTGCATATACCATTCTAATCTGCACTTTATGTGGCTTGTGTTTAAAACCCCAACAAAACTCTGAATTTAAAAAGATTAGAAAATATTTTTCTTTGGGATAAACATGAAGCACTCTATGTACTCTAATCCAAGCAAATCCACTTACATAATGGGCTCCTTCCTTAGCAAAATGCAAAATTTTAAACCATGGCAGTGTCTTCATGTTTTGAGTCACAGCTCTTCCTCTAACCAGAGGGCTAAAGACCATAAACATGACAGAAAGCTCATGCTTGCTAAATTCATTTCACATTGCAAACCTCAGCCGCTTACTGTTAGCAATTATGTCCTGAAACAGCCCAATAGCACAGACAAGTGCTCATATTGTGGACAGGCCCATGACATTCAGCAGCAATCACGACATTCACAGTCACAGCTTTGTCAGGACCAGTGTGTCAATGAGCGTGTAATATTGCTTTTAGACGGTGTGCAGCTGGCTGAAGAAAAGGTATTTAAGTTAGTGTTTAATAATGAGTCAAATGTAACACTGGCTTACCAAACATGTTATAGAATAATAATAATCAATAATAATTACTTTCACTTATATAGTGCCTTTCTGGACACTCCACTCAAAGCACTTTACAGGTAACAGGGACTCTACCAGTACACTCACCACACATCAGCTATCAGCGGGGAAGAGAACAGAATGATGAAGCCAGTTCACTGATGGGGATTTTTAGGAGCTCATGATTGGTAAAGGCCAGTGGGAAATTTGGCCAGGACACCAAGAAACTCCCTGGAATTGTTCTCAGGACCTCAGTTATACATCTCATCTGAAGGACTGTGTCTTTTTTACAGTATAGTGTCCCCCATCACTATACTGAGGTATTAGGACCCACATAGACCGCAGGGTGACCGCACCCTCCTGGCCCCACTAACACCTCTTCCAGCAGCAGCCTTAGCTTTCCCTGGAGTCTCCCATCCAGGTACTGGCCAGGCTCACACCCGCTGAGCTTCAGTGGGCTGCCAGTTGTGAGGCACAGGGTGATACAGCTGTTGGCAGCTATGAGAAATCTCTTAAAAATGACAAATCCTGCAGAAGCAACATTCTATCTCTGTAAAGACATGGTTTCCATAAATAACAATTTAATTATAGGTTACAAATAATTCATTTATAAAGAACACAACTGTTAGGTTTAAAGGCCATGCCACATAAAGTTTAGGCAATTATATGTGGAATTCAAATATGTTTGCCTACTACATTCAAATTAGCACCTGCATTGTATGAAGACTGCCGAGTCCCTGCATCACTCTCCTTGTGTGTGCAGGCGATCAAACAATGTTTCTGGCATTGAAAGGGTGTGTGACTGCAAGCTCTGATTTACACATTCAAATAAAAGAAGGTGAATGCAAAGTTTGGGTAAAGACGTTCTGCTTAGTTTTTCCTACTTGAATGTATCTGTTACTGTGCTTCTCCCTGCCTTGCTCACACCTTTGCTTTTACTACAGGACATTCATTGTTTTTTAGGGTTTTTTTGTCCTCTGGCTGTGTTTATGACAGATGGCTAATGGAATTCTCGCAGAACTCTAATTTAAAAGAATAAGAAACTAGGGAACCTTTTTTTACAAGACATGTGAACATTTCTAATTATTAGAATACTAGAATAATCATCACCACAATCCATGCTCCATCACCATCCTTGCCCCAACTTTTTATGACCAAGCACCCAGGACCTTGGTTAACCGTCTAATTTGAAAGACAACAACTTCTCGAGCACAGTGTTCCCAGTCACCATAATGGGGCACTAGGCTGGAAATACTGGTCCAGAGGAAAGATCACCACCTACTGGTCCACAAACACAATTTACAACAGTAAACAGCAAAAGTTATAATAGATTGGGTAAGTCATACATCTAAATGATTTGAACATCTACTGCACGTTTTACATAATGTTTTGCTGGTAAATTCCTTGGTCTCATTATTTCAAGAGCAAATATATTTCAGTTTTAAAATTACAAGCGGTAAGCTAAGTATAAAGTTTCGGAAAGAGAGAAAAGCAGAAGGAAAATGCAGCAAGAGCAAAAAAAGAAAAAAGAAGCTCCTTTTTGTGATTCAAGCCACAGTTACAAAACATCAATTCAATGAGAAAAACTCAGTTTCCAGCTTCATGACCCCCTGATGTACTTAACACATCATTTTCTTCTATCGTAGAAACAAATCAGGATGGACAACAGGAAAGCTAAATAAATTATTCTTGAGATAGTATGGAAATAATATTTAATTTACCCCCCCCCCCATACTCTACCTAACTAATCTAGCAGTAAATGTATTCCAGTATAGATCTATTAGCTGGAAGGTACTGAATCTTTTCCAACAGACCCACTGTATCACAGACACTAAGTCCCTGTCTCTGATATCAGATGTCCGACCCATTGTCGCCATCCTGGCCATCATGTGATTTGCTTACTGCAGTTTCTCAGCAACGGCTGGGTGAATTTTCAATACAACCTTGCCCTGAGGCCTTGATGAGTGGTTTTTAAGAGCCATCTTTCTGACAAGGCTCTCAGTATGCTCTGCTCTGGCCGTCTCCCTGTCTGGCCCCTGAATGCCCTTGTGACAAAGGTACGAAGAATGCAGTGTGGTGGTAAACCAGGGCATGGATCACAATTGTTCATTGCAAATCCTTTAACTCTCACTCTGTGGTAATTTAAGATGCAGGAGAAGCATTTGTTTCCTTTTGGATTGCAAAGGGGTTCCTCGGAACACGATGTTTTCCGAAATGCGTACAGAGTGTCACTTGACATGAATTTAATTGGTAGTTAATCCAACATTTAGGATTATGATTTTAGGACATAAAATGGAAGCAGATTCAAGGTTTACCTGCTAACAAACTATGAACTTCCAACAGGGAGGGAAAGGTTAAAAACAAGGACAAGAAAACAATGCTGTTTCGATTTTACTGTTGTCTCCCAGGGGAATTCATGCATTTATCTCTCGCTGTCATCTTGATACCTTACAAACCCTGACTGGGCCGCAACAAATTCTCCAAAATATCCTTAATAGCTTTGCAACACTTCCAAAAACATCTTAGAAAAACAACACTTGTCACAAAACATATTCAGTTACTTTTTCTGTACTAGAATCTGAGCAAAAGTAATGATCAAACAGAGATTCCCCGTTGAGGCAACAGTCCAGGGACAACGGTGAACCACAGTTTATGGATTTGAGGGTTTCGACTGTCCCACAGTTGCCATAGTTATCAGCAGAGCTTTCAGCCATCCTTTTACCTTTACTTTATAAAAAAAGTTTCAAGCCAGAAAAAGTAATCTATCATCTTCCCACCTACTTTACATTGACAAATGTACAAGATAAAGGACATTTCAGAAGATATTTCTAACTATTTCTGGTGCACCATTCAGGCTTAAATAGATTTGTGGTAGAATAAAAACTTGCTATGGATTCTTCTCAAATGCATTATGTCATTCCTGTTGAGCCCATGTGTGAGGCATTCATCTACAATCTCAGAGTGACAAGCAAAACACCTCCAAAACCACCAATAAATACATTCTGAAAAACAAATTTGATTTCCTAGAGATCGTTTTTTTTCATAGTTCAGAGCGTAAGCAGAACAAGCAACAGCAGTGTACTTCAAAAATGACAAGCTAGCTAGATGTGTCCATTTCTCCTTCAGACTAGCCAGGCCTAAGGCAGAATTCAGCAGTTGCACATGCAGCATGCTAAGTGTTCCTGATGAACTGCTTTCCCCTAAAACATTTTCCAAAACATCTACTGGTTTTGACTTTTTCAAGTGTTAAGCATACCTTTTTTTAAGAAATAGAAAAAAACATAAAAAACCTTTTTCATGGTTTTAAAAACTATTTAAACCAAAGCTGTAATTAAAAGCATCAACGCAGAGCATTCAGTTAACAGTAAAATCAATGTATTCTCCAATCAGACCTTGTTTTGGCAGGTACCTACAAACATTCACCAATAGAAAATGCAAAACATCAACAAACTGGTTACGTTTCTTTTTTCACAGCATGGAAATCAAGACTGTACTTTCAACCAGCAACCAGTGAATCACGGTCTCCTTCTCATCGCGTAATATGACATGACTTTCATGTTCCAGTAAATTTGCCTGAAACCTTGAGAAGACTCGCTCACGAAGCACTTTACATTATCTTTCATAGGAAGGAATGAAAACTGGAGAAGCTGAAATCTTAATAAAAACTACTATGGGAAGCCAATGTAAATTAATATTCAATACATCTAATATTCTCCATGAGAACCTTGCCGCAAAATGAGAATACAACTAAATGTCCATAATTAATCAGACATAAGAGAGAAAAGCACACCAGACAGTAGCAGGAGCATTCAGTGAGATTTGATAAGATGTATCAACTTAGTTATGTTGATTTACATCCGAGGTTACAGCAGAGATACATGTTGGTTAAAGAGCCCCATTAATCACTCTTGTAATGTGTTTGGTAAAAATTATCTCGAGTCGGAAGGAGAATTTTACTTCACACTGGATGCGGTCCGACACAGTATAACAGACAGAAGGCATGGACCTACCTGCCGATTTCGGAGTGAATTTGTCCCGGTTTGCGGCGCACACAGCCAGGAGCCGGTATCCCAGATCCAAGTCAAAGCCTTGCTGGGCAGCAACTCGACTGACGACCTGGACAAGAGCGCACAGTCAACACCTGCGGGATCCCAAGGAACCCCACACGGAGCACCTCCACCCCAGAGAGCCAGTGCTATCCTAAGAATCCCTTCTGGGCTGTGTTTATTTCATGGCTGGCCCCACAGCAGGAAGCAGCTGTGCAGAATTATTTTCAGTGCCCCTGGCTTAGTGTTAGGCCTTTCCAGTTTAAAACCTGCTCCCATGGGAAGTCTGGAAGTTAGCTTTGTAGTGCGAAACTGACTTTTGTTACTCCTAGACTATATTTTATTATTCCAGACCATGTGTCAATTAAGCTGTTTAACTGTTCTGTCCCACTGCACACTAATCAACTGCTTAACTTTGCATATTATAAAGACTTTTATATTATAAGATCTACATTAGAAAGGGCTTTCTGTGAAATTGTATGAGCAAAGGCGCTGAGGTTAGAAAAATGCCTGGGTTTTTAAAATTTCTTAAAAACACCCCAGAATGGTTTTCCGATTTATTTTAGGTATTGCAATGGCAAACATTGCTATATGATTGCATGTTTGCATAGTGTCTCTCCAAATCCTAGCTTCCTCTCACCTCCAAAGAATTGGTAGGTTAACTGATGTCTCTAAATTGCTTCTGTTTGTGTAAGGCAGTGTGTCCTGTCCAGGGTAGATTCTCCCTCTGCACCCTGTTCTTCCAGGACAGGCTCAGAGCTACTGCAGCCCTTACCAGAAATCAGGGCCTTTTATTGTAGGTTTGTTCTTTAAGCCTTTCCACTATATCTGCTTTATGTTCCAAAGTTACCGATTTTTGTCTTAGGCCTGCCACATCCCTTGACAAACTGCCCAGAAATACGCCTGCTGAAAATGAGGCATGCATAATTAGTGTGTACCTCATTTTAAAAATAAACATCCATGTTATTAAAAATGCATATACTTATCATCAGCAACAGAAACCTATCACCCTATGTATGCACTATATTTATGCAACCTATCACTCTATTTATGCCTGATTATATTTTGTGAATTTATGCCACTGAAATTGATCTTTCTTTTAATGCTCAATATATCTTTTATTTCTGGATAAGGATAATTTATATAGATTAGAGGGAGGAAGGTAAACAAAGATGTCCTATCATGTATTAATTAAAAACATTCTGACATTAAAGACAATGCATTCTTATTGACACATTCAAAAACATGTTTTGCTTTCAGAGGGCAAAAAAGAAAAAAGCTTTTTTTCCCCCCTAATCGTGCTGTCAGATTAAATTTCTATACAATTTTATTTTAGGCAAATAATATTTAGTAAGAAACACAACCTAAATTGTAGCCGGAGTGAGAAATACTATCTGAGAATGTTTTATTGCAGATTTGTGTTTTTGCAACTGATATGATTTCTGCTATATGAAGGGCCAAATTACAAAACTCCCACCAACTTGAATTTCTATATTGTGGGTACAAGGACAATTCTTGCAAGGTGTAAGGATAGCAGTCTATCAGACAAGCATTCATCCACTGGGTTTTAATTACATTCCTACTTGATGGCTAATACCTGCTTAATAAGCATTTTGCAGATGGTTAAAGTAAAAAAAAAAAGTATTTTATAAAGAAAAATAAATATTACATGCACACCCAAAACACTGCATTAGGTTTTGAAAAATCAATTTTCGATCCTTTTCAATTAAAACAATTTAGAATATAATGAGCAGTTTGCAGATGTAATTGAGTAAACTGGCTTTAGTAGACAAGGCAAATGTTTAGTTGTAAAAAAACACAATCTCACTGAATTCAAATCAGTCTTTGTGTGAGACCAGCAGGCAGGAAAATAATTCCCATTTTACTTGTATAATCTGAGTATTTTAGATCCTGCCCCCCAGAGAGCCACTTACCTCAGAAGAACAAACATGACAAACTGACACAGACACTGCAGTTTTGATTACAGTATACGGTACATTACCTGACTAGCATACTGTAACAATGCAGTTTGTTTTGGGTGGTAAGGAAGAACCGCAACAGAAAATTTGGAAAATTAATTTTAAATGAAAAGGCACAGGAAGAAAAGAGGATAATAACTTATTAAAGAAAAAAAATATCCACAACAAATATTTCCTGGCCTAAGGCTAGCACAAAGAATAAAAAAAATATAGTACCTCACGCAACCACTTAACTGGCTAAAACAGTGACATAGACCAAACACTCGACTTTAGGATTTACTGTATGACACCGTGAGAAGTTGCAGCACAGGCCAGCTTACAGGATGGGCTGAGCAGTGTGCGGCTTAGGATAGCTTGGAATTTCACTGGAGGAAATAATAAGCAGAAATTACATCTAAAACATAGACTGACCTCCTGGTACAAAACACTCAGCTCTGTCAAAAAATAACTATTTGCTTTATTTCATATATAATAGTCTGGATTTATAAATCAGTACACCCATCACAGTAGGTGCTATTGTCCAAAAGTTTTAGAATATGTCTTCAGTTCATATTTCTTTCGTGTTTCTACATGATCGATTATTAATATTAAGGACTCAGAAAGGCATGTTTTGTCACACTGAAAATGGTGTCCATTACACTGGACAAAGCAATGATGACTATCCATGGCTGACTGTACCAGAATTCTCTGGTTGATGTGCTGTTTTCAGGCAGGAGGCGAGAATCTAACTCAGATTGTCAGGAGTCGTGGCTGACATAAAGTCTGTTAAAAGTGCCTTGACTCTTTTATTACTCTAAGGCAAGTGACAGTTAGGTCCATTTACCTCTTCACTGACAAAGTTCTCTACTTCCAGCACACAAATACACTGTGAGCCTCTGAGATGTTTTAATTAAAATGTCTATTTCCAAGGAATTTTTGAAACATATTTTCATAGAAATACATAAAAAAATTGTTGACACAATGTACATGAAACATAACCATGTTTTGAGTGCTCATGCTAAAATAAAGTAGTTCAGGACTGCCTATTTTATTTTAAAACAAACACACATTTGACAGTTACTGAATGTTGTCAGGTTTACTGGGTAATGAGGTACTGATGCTTTTCTTATCAAAAATTCTGATGAAAAATGTCCCTTCCTTCCATGAGAATCTCAAGTTAAAAGAGCACAAGCAGGGTGCATTCCTGCTAGCCACAAATGAAAATCAACAGCCTTAGGGCAACTAGTGCCCGACATGTCCAGCTCTGTCAGCCAAACCTCTAATCTTCTGATGCCTTTAATCTTTTACATAATTCTTCATTTACTACTGGAGGGTGGCACTTTTTGGTTTCTTATTAATAAAACAACATATCAGTCAACCCTGTGCTGGAAAACGTGAGGTAATTCTAGGACACAGGACAGCAGACAGCACTCTTGAGGTGGAAACATTCAAACTGGAATTTCTGTACTCGGCAGCTACCATGAAATCTCCTCTCCAGGGCTGTAGCTTTAAAAGTTTGAAACAGAAGGATGTTGGACAAGAGAGTATAAAACCTAGCATGGTCTATATATCTTACACATAGAGCACTAAAGAAGTTGATAGATCAGGGTGGCCCAGAAAGCTAAGAAATGATCATGGCACTTTAATGTGCAGGGTTTCTGTAATCCAGAGCAGTTTTTTTCTTTAGTTACATAGACAGACCAATCAATCAGCCTGCGCTCTGCAAGCCTCTTCCTTTCTCTGCCTCCTCACACTGTGTGACTGAATCTTTGCGTATGAATGACAGATGCCAATCAGAGATACTCTTTTTAGGCTTGGAAACGTCTGAAGTCATACAGCTGTTCATTTTTTAAAGGCTTAATATATTTTATATTTTTATGGCAATTATTTAATTAAAAGATCTAGCCCCACTGTGGGCTTAATGCAAGAGCACAGTTAAAACTGCATGGTTTTTAACCAAGGAATTAAAAGCTTTAGAGCTTTAAACTGCATTGATTACTTTGTGGTCTGAGTGACTGTGTGCTTACTGCTCACTCCCTTCGTTTTCTCTGTGTCGCTGTTAACCTCTGCCCTCGTGTGTCCTGCTGTCTTTAACAGGACCTAGCCAATAGCTTGTGGTTCTGCTGCAGCCTGTTCTTACATAAAGAGATCTTGAGAGAAACACGCCCACGTTCATCATACTGAAAAGGGCAGGGCACACTTCCTTAATCAGTGGTAAACAGCTAAAACTGGGGAATAGTCACTGGAATCCTGTTCGTGGTCTCCCGTATTATTATTTTTATTAATAATAATAATAATAATAATAATAATAATAATAACAACAACAACTTTATTTTATATAACAACTTTAAAAGTAGCATCTTAAAGTACCTTGCAGTAGGTGTAAAAAAATAAATGAAACCAGCTAGATGCAAGTTTTACTTTTTAAAAAGGGACAAATTTATGTTTCCGAAACATACAGCAAAAGGGTAATTAAGGCTACAAAATAACCACTGTTGCTTTATACTTGTACATTACGGAAAAACAAAAACAGTTCTTTACAATTCCTTAGCTGGGTTCCTTAGTTCGGAGGCGGAGCCGGCTTACCGTCAGACAGCCCATCAGGCTCTGCTCGAAGGGGCGCTGGAAGGCCCGCGGATCGCCACACCAGTCCAGGAGCTCGGTCGCCGCCGTCTGGAAATTTGCTGGATTTTGTAAGTGCTGGAAAAACACACACACATCCCCCAAAGAAGAAAAATGGGATTAAAAGTTGTAGTCAGAAATTTAATGGCAAAAATGATATTTTATTGGAGAACAGAGTTGTTTACACAACAACCTGCTTCTGAAAAGCTATGGGCCACCTGTGCAAAGCGAAGGGACAGGAGCACCATTACGGGGAAATAACACAAGAGCGCACTGCTGAATTTCAAACAGCTATGTCAGAGAAATCATGTGGTTTATTACACAATTTAAAAGTAGCTTAAATTACTCTTTCAACAGCAGGTATGGCTTCTTTTACAGATAATGTTCCTTTATTTAGTGACTGGGAAACTTTTTTATTTTTTAAAAAATTCTATCCTCTCAGCAGGGGCTTCAAGTAACTAGCGGATCAAATTAACAAAAAGGATTAAAAAAAACAGCCAATGGAAATGGTCTTTATACCAGTGCGTACTAAAACTGTATGTTGTATTATGAATGGAAACCAAGCCCTCACCCAACCTCCACTTTCTCCCAGTTACTGCAATTGCAACTGAAAAATTGTCCGTGCCATGGCTGTAATGTATTTTACATTCAGCCAAAAGTGACTTCTAATATGGTCCCACGGTTTAATATAGTAGAAACACTGTTTTATTAAGCCTCTTCCGCAGCTCTACATTCTTGTAAGGACCCCTTCAGAACAGCTGAAGGGCACTTGCTTTATGAGCAGTCTGGCTGTTCAGTGTAACTTTCTATCAGACAATTACATCAGTGACCTTCAAGATCCCCTTATGCCTGGATTCACCTTATGCATGCTCTTTTGTTGAGTCAGCTACAGGCGCAGGACGAGCACTCGCAAGTTTTGAAACAAAACCAAAATATTTCTCTGCTTTTATTTCAAAATCAGCGACTGTTTGTCTGCCCACTCCTTTTCAAAGTTTCAATAAAACTTTCACAGGCGTTAAGTAAATGAACTATTAACTCTAGACGCTTGCTTCTGTGGGTAGGAAATGGGAATTCCGCATAATGTTTATTGTGATGTTTATTCCTCTAATTTGTATAGCAGAGATCTCCTTACAATCATATGTAACACAAGGTTCCACTGCTGTATATAATCAACACAGTCTTTGGAGGTCAGACAACAGGAGACACGGTCTCCTAATCTTTGATACATTTAGATAAACTTAATCTGATGGTCCTAAGGGGCAGTCATACCATTCCACAGGATAAACCTTGGTCAAGACCAGACATTTTGTGCAATGAAGGTTTCTTCGACGACAGCCTTTTCATGTCGTTTTTGTACATTTCAAAATTAGGAACCATGTAGCTAGGCAATCAGCCTTTGGGGAAATGTGTGAATAAGTGCCACAGAGGCTGGTTGTGCTATCCGCTCTTGCGCAGGGGCAGCTCTGTGTTATCACTCTGCCAGTCTCGCAGCACGCCGTGCAAGAGAAGCCTGCCAGATCACAGACATTCCCGGCTCCCTGACCAAACCCCGCCAATCCGATTTAACCAGGAGCACAGGCAGAGGGAGTGTCTGGAACCCATCATTCTTCTGGAAAAAACGACCCTGCCATTGGAGCCACAGGACTGGAGATGTACAAGCACATCTTGACAAAAGCTGTAAATTACAGATGGTCTTTAGAGGACCTTCTTCAAAGCAAAAAACCTGCAGAGAGTTAAGAACCCAAACTTATTTGATAGACTTGAGAACTGTTATCCTGTTTCATTGTTAAGTGTTTTGAGAAACTGCTAGATACAATAATGTTAGTCACTGAATTTTAAAAATGGCAGGATAGTGAGAAATTAGTACCCTTTTCCTTGTGCTGTAAATATCATGCTCATTATATTTAGAAATAAGAGCCACTACTCCGGAGGACAAAAAAAATGCATTTCTCAGTTTTTTGTTTTATACTCCTTTTGCATGTCAATTATATTTCTTCAAGATGCAAAATTTCTATAAGAAAAACATTTATTTTTATTTGTAATTAAGCCCAACAGCTGGATTGGTTTGACAATATCTCCTTAATTATTTTAATTGCGGGAAGATTCTACTCTGTCGAGGAGAGAGGATAGTAAGTTAATTGTTCTGATCTCTCTTGATAACCATGTTACTGTACTTGGAAGAGAACAGAGTTATGTTGAAAGAACTCACTGGTGGTCTAATTGGCACAATATCACAATATAAATGCTATTTAATATATTGAGTTTCCAAAATCACACAGGGCTGCCTTGATCAGTGCAGTGTCAACTTGTTTTAGATTTAAATTAAATTACCAACTTTTTTATTCCATCAAGCCAGTGCATGACAATGAATTTGGCTCTAATTAGGATGTTTAACTATTATCCACATCTTAGCCATATCTGTGCATGTCTTGTCATTTTTACAATCTAGGTTGTGTCCATGTGATGAGGTGAGCCCTTATTTTCTACCGCGTTTCCCAACTGATCGGGACCGAGCAATCACTGCAAAATTGCACCCCATTTCTAAATGACCTGCGGCCGTGAACTAGCCTCATAAACTCAAAGGTTTCTTTACATTGCAGCTTGTTGAGGTTTGCAATTCCATGGCTTTGGTTTTGCCATTAGTTATTAGAACATTTAAATTGACTCCATGCGAGAAATCATTTTCAGTGTTGAGCTACAATAAAATATTTTTCCATCTGATCGCCATCTCCTGCTCTTGTCCAGCATCACCTCTGTCTGGCGGAGGACTATTCTCAGGAATAGCCCCAGGGAAGCTTCCTAAATTAATGTCAGATGACTACATGTGCTACAGGAATGACTAAATACGGCTCCCGAGAGGCATGCTTGCTCAGAGCAGACGAAAGCAAAGCAGCAGTATTAGCCTCACATGCAAGCTTGACTTCAAAGCCAGATTATAGTGAACTGTAATGAAGAAAGCCCTCCTTTGCTTACCTGGTAGAAAACAGAAGTGTTTACCTGATCAAGTTAAAAATGTGTCCCTTGATAATTACTGGTAGGCCAGTCCACCCCCAAATACTGTGAATACTGAACAAGTTGCAGTGTTTTGTTCAAGTGGTCAGATACTGTGTAATGTCCCGTTAAGATATATATCTATATAGTTTTTTGTTATTTTCCACACAGAAATGGGTTTCAGCTGAATATTTTTGTGAACCCCAGGGCCCATACAGCCCATGTTGTGGTTAGGTAAGGTGTCCGCTTCATCAAGATAGCTGGTTTCATACCCTCACAACCCTTGTTGTAAAGAAGTGCCTTGTGTTCTTGATCTTAAAAGCACTTCCATGTAGTGGAAGTAGCTGACACGAAGCACCAATCTGATCATCTGTACCTGATTATGCTTGGATGTTAATGCTAGTCACTTTTCAAATATTTGACAAGCTACAAGGCTACTAAAACATTTGTGATTCATTCTTTGTTGTTTTACTGTTTTGAATATTCCCCTAAAAAAAACAAAACATTACCACACAAAACAACTAAATACAGACTTGATAAGAAAACCAGTAGCACCCACACACCAGGGAAGGAAAAATAATCATATTGCATAATTAATCGCATAATATCTTATACATATTGCTCAACGTTAACAGCTTTAAAAATCCCCGGAGTATACAAGGCTGACTAACATAAGAGGTAAAACGTGACATGGAAAAAATCAATGGTTTAAACTTCCAAATTATTATGCAGATAAAACTAGTTTTCAAATAACCTTGGTTAAACCTGAACAGCTCTAAACTACAAGCCAAAGATTACGATCCTCTAGCCCTAAATCTCTAAAAAACAACACACTCCCTCCTTCAGTACTTGCACAAAACAGAAATAAGACACTTTGTCAAACAATGATCAAAGACAAATATCAAGGCAGCAGCCCAGGGTTGTGCAACACTTTAATTCTGCCAAAATTTCATATGTGAGTAAAAATGGAGAAGGGGTGCATGTATGTTTCAGAACAGCGCTTTGCAAATGTGAATTGAACATGCTGGGCCAGCCCCCCTGAACTGACCGGCTGTGCAACTGGATCCTGCAATGCCTGATAAAGAGGTGGACAGATTACCATTTATAGAGGTCCCAGGAGACGGGAGGGCTTGGAGCAGGGGGTTCCACAACGGCGAAAGCTCTCTGAACTTGAGGCCGGACAAAGAAATGTGACATTTACGAGCACGTACCACTTCACAACCCGGTGTCGGTACTGAGCTGACCAAGTACTGACCAAGGGAAGAATGAGCTCCAAACCGAACTGGGGGCAAAATGCTATTTTCCCCCAGAGTATTTCCTCACCTCTCAATTAGAAAGTCTTAATCAGAAGAAAACTTCGAATGAGATCCCCTAGCTGGATGAAATGGCTGACTTAGTTTCCATCTCCGGGAAGAAAGCAGGCTGGGGCAGGCACTTTCTCTTTAGCTGAGGTGTTAAATTTCCACAAAATAAGAACAGCCTGAACAGACGGTTCCACAAGACTGTCTTCCATTTCAGAAAACCCTAGTCAAAATGTGCTTTTTAATACTGGCACTGCAACTGTTACGCATGAAACAATTGGCATTAATTCCATCAGCCTCATGCATGTTAAAGCAAGACAACTCATTTTAATAGGACTAGAAATATTAAAATAAGGATCTAAATATGCTCACAGTAAACTCAATGCCTTTCCATAATGAAAAGTGGCCATGATTAATTATGTCATCTAAATGCAAGCTGATTCCAGCTTAGGTTTGTTTGGAGATAAATGGTAGTCTTTTATGAAATAGCACTGGTACAAGGGTGATGAGAAGCTGCGGTGGTACTAATTTCGCTACTCTAGCAGTATATAAAAATAAATCTATATGAAGGTCTGTAAAGGTTTATGCTGCATAACTATCAAACGTATGTGAAAGAATAAGATTGGTATCCTACTAAACGAGAGGCAGCACTGGCACAGAATGGGCATTTCTTCGCAGCTTGTTCATACAGTATGTACATAGCCCAGCTAACTTACCTGTTTTATGCACAGCAGACGGTCGTTGGTCTGCTGTATGTGCCTGTCCATAGACGGTATAGAGTTCATTTTGATTGTCTCTCCTTGGTTTCTACCTGGAAGCCATTAAAAGGTCTGTGCTCTGAAAGACAAAGATAGAGAAGCAGTGTTAGTGAGGAGCTCACTGGTGGTCTGCCAGTCCCTCCAAAACCCTGAAGTGTGTGTATCTGTGTGTGCGTGTGAGGGGGTTGGGCTGGAGCTGAGATGGGTTCATTTTGCAGGTGACAAGGGCTTGGGAAAGGCTCACGCTTTAAACTAGGCTATTCCAGGGTCACCTGACGACACCTTAACAAGTCCAGTCAGTCCCTATCAAAGCAGCTGCACACAGGACTCTGCCAGCTGAGGTGATGATAGGTGTTCACTTCTGCTAGACCCTGACCGCACTACAAGTGCTTCACAGCCTTAAGGAGAATTTATTTCAGTGTTTTTCTCAGAATGAAAAAAAGAATCATTTGTTTCAACAATAAAAATATGTTTTTCTTTCTCACTCTCAGCAAAAAGAATGCTGCAGCTTCTTTTAAGTACACTTCAGGATAGAGTGTCTGGTTGGTTATCACTGGCACAGTGCACAACGAATAGGCACACTGTGTCTACATTTCTCAAAGGTTATGTCATCCACAGTCAACAATTATCTGTGTGAGGTGTCTGAACAAGCTATAGATTTCACATCCTTATGTCGTGGCAAGAGAACTCTGCCTTATGGATGGTAGTACATCTCAAAGAATAACAAACGGGAGGCTCAAGACATGAGAATTTTATGACAACTTGCATTAAAGTCAAATTTTATTTCTGACACCGACACCTTAGATGTTATCTTTAAAAATAAATGAAAGGGTATTGGTGCTGCTTGCCATGCAAGGGAACTCCATTATCACATGTCAAAAGTATTAAGCCTTGCATCCAAGGTTATCAATTTTGCTTCACCATACTGATTTATCGCCGTATTCAACAGCAAATAAATATCACACACTGTAGTCGGGCAGTAATTTATAGTGTCCTGTAGCTTTAAAACAGACGAGCTGGTGAATTAATAGGTAGGAATCTTGGAGTCCGCTCTCCTTCTCTCAACCCCTGTATTTATCACCATCACACAGTGACAAATTCCAGAACACAGAGCGCCTGTGAGAATCCCACGCACGCTGCCAATGGAGACTTCTGTATCACACTGATAATGCTCACTTATGGCTCCTGCTGGATTAAACAGGAGGAAAGAAATCTACTCCACTAGACAGCTAAAGAGCTTTTATGCTGCCTATTGGAACTCCTCAACCCCACACTCGAAGCACAAGAGGGCACCCTAGTACATTCCTCACCATAAATTAGAACACTCGTAAAAAACATGAGGTGCATTTTCCACAAATGGAATTGATTCGTTAACCCCTTCACATCATTGTTTGGAAAAAGGGGAAAAAAAAACATACGACATATGAAGCTCTGCCAGAAGAGGCTTTTAAATCAGGGCTTGGTCACTTGGAGCACATTCCACAAGGTCTGTCTGCAGCTGAGAGCTTAGAGACCAAGGGGCTGAACAAGCAGAGTGGCTGAGTGCGCTTTCACAACTTGGGAATGAAAAACAGGACTAAGGGTGGAAAAATGTGTTATAAACACAACAATAAAACAATATTAAACTGTATAAACAGATGTCTGAAAGACATCTGAAAATCACTGCCCCATTGCCTGTAAAGGTCTGTGTGATAATTACAGTGTCACTTGAACCTGTCTCATCACAAGAAAACCTTTTAAATTCATCTTCAACTACACCAAGGTTTTTCTCTGTTTATGTAAGGATTATTCTACCCTACTTAGAGAAACAAACGCATTATAATGCATAATGAAAGAATGAAAATCTAAATACTATAAGTTGTTAAATTGGGCTAGTTCAATACTCTTAGAGGTAAACCTGTACAGGTGATTTATCAATGTTAGTATTCTGTAATGTTGATACAGATAATGCAGACATGAAGTCACACAGTACACAGTACCAGACGTTCTGGGTTGCAATACACAGCAAGAACCAGCAGGTGTCTCCCTTCCCTGCTAAAGGCAGAACTGCATTTTCTTCACAAATAGCTGCACTGTGTTTCTTTAAGCCTTTACAAGCTCTACAAATCCTCAGCTGCTGCTTCCTAACAGGGTGCACTCAAACCAACACTGTCAGTCTGACCTTGTGGTTATTGATTAACTATTTCCCCATTCCCTGCCATCTTTCACACCCCCGGCACTGAACACAGAGCTGGAACTCAGCCCACTCTACACTGTAGCAGGTTTTTTTTCCATTTAAACATGTGTAAGGTTGATTTTTAGACACAGAGCACTACCTTGTTAGGAGAAAAACATTAGTATCAAAGTGTCATGACACTGACAACTCAACATGTTGTTCTCATGACATTTTCCTGCTGCTATAACAAAGATTCCTGTTGTCTTCTTCTCTGTTATATATAAATATTTGTTTTCAAGGTAGACAGCAACAGAACTGCTGCAAAGCAATGACCCACATACTTCAGTTTTTACAATAGTTAATTAAAATGAACCACAGCGTTTTTAACATGACATTGTGGTGAGAGCAGCACAACTGAAAAACATGATTACTGCAGTTTTTAAGTACAGGATTGCTGTCAGACCCCACTGTCATACTCTTACCCGCCCAAAAGCTGATATAACCTGAATTGCATCTTAGCCAACAGCCAATAGCTCAGGTTATTCAAGAAACAAGGAAGCACAACTTTTTTTTTTCTAATAAATGAACAAACGGGGAAAAAAAAGCTGTGAGATGAAGCAAATCAAAGGATAAATCACAACAATGAATAATGCAAAGGCTAACTGACGAGTTTAAACAAACACAAATCAACTAACAAGAAACACTTGGGAACTGCTCACAAGTTTTACAAGAGAATCTGGTGCAATTATCTCTCTGTAATCAGAGTGTGACTGCATCACTGACTTCCTCATCTGAACTGACAGATAATTCTTACCTTCTTAAATGATATTTTATTGCTGCTATCATCTCTCATCTGGTGCACAGCAACAGCTTTTGTCTGCCTGTGTGCTAGAAAGCTCAACTGACCCTTAACAAAACAATCTTTTAAGACAGAAAAGACACGGGACTCCAATGTAGCAGCTATTGAGGCAGAAAGCTCAAGACGGCCGTGGTGGTGAAGCAATTCTCGTAGATTGATTCGGCCAGCTTATTTTCCTCGCAAGTACGTTTCACGCACCCAAACAAAGAAACTCCTCCAGACAAAAAAAAGTATGATAATTAAGAAAGATATGCCATTTGCTCTAGGGCACAGATCCTCGAATATAAATACACTCCCTTACAGGAGCAGCAGCTGTCTCGGAGGTTATTATCATGTCACTATTAAAGCACTCCGACTACTTATCAAGTCACTGTTACGTTTTTCCTCAATCATTTGTTAAGCACTGTCTAATTACAGTATGTCACTTAGGTTAGTAAATAATGGCACAATTGGGAGTGGTGTAAAAACTCTGCAAGCTTATTAAAAATAAAGAGAGGGAGAGAATCTGATGGCCTCTTCTGGAGTATTTGGCCAGTGAAGCCCATAAGGAGGGCTGGTCTGTGCCAGGCAGGCTTGTGTACAGATGTGGCTGACAGCTTGAGCACATTGATCTGACCCTAGACAATCTGCAACAGAGTCGGCTCCCGTTCACACAAACGCAGTGTGGCTCCGACCGAAAGATGTTTCCAAAAATGAAAATCACATAATTAAACGCTAAGGCAAATTATCCGCTTCTAACTAAAACGAGGCTATTGATCCATTTAATATTTTATAACCCATGCAGGGTTTTTTTTGCACAGCACTGGCTATGGAAAGAAAAACAGGAAAAGGATCAAGACGGCATTCGCAGAGAAGCAGCTTTTCCAAACCCACATGACAGTCTTCGTACTTCTCCGAACTGTCACCTTATGAATGGCTCAAGATGTAGGCAAAAGGTCCTCTTAATTAATAAATATTTTGGAAAAGGAAAGTTTTATTAAAGGGCTTTTTTAACTATAAGCTCTTAAATGGCTACAGCTGCAGTTTTTTTTTCCTGCCTGTTAAATGGCCAGGCACCAGGACAAAGCGTTATTTGTCATGCAAGGAAAGCAGGAGGATGGAAAAGTGTACTCTGCTGCTTTCCTTTGTTACTTTACAGAATGTGCAGAAATCCCCAGCAGGCTCTGGCACTGAATATGTGTTGTGAGCCCCCCCCACCCCCGGAACGCCCCCACCCCCTTACTACCCCCACCCCAATGCTGCCTTAACAGGCTCGGGAATGGATTTATTTTATTTAATGTGGTTTGGTCTACGACTCGGGCAGTCACCCCAAGCAGGAGACTCGTCTTTGCAGTCATGTGTTTTCATACAAGCCAATCGAGGGAGCCGAGCTGGTTTGGTCTCTTTTCCCTCCCTCGCCGTCTCTCGCGCTGGCTCTCACTCGCTCTCTCTTTTTTCTTTTCTCGTGACAGCTCGCATAAGCAAGCCTACCGAATATTCCTTGGGGACCCTCAGCTCGGTACACAGAAACCGTTCAGTCATCCGGCGCATCTGCAGCCAGGCTGGAGAAGCATGGGCAGCAGTGTGGGATGTAGAGCACTCAGTCCCCACGATAAAAATCATAGGGGTGGGATCAAGAGGAGGACAGAGCAATATCTCCTCTCTAACCAAGTGTAACATTTCACTAAGTCTCTAAGGCTGATCGCTGGGTGATAAAATGAGACAAAAGCAGATGGGCTGTCTCTTTCACCAGTGGTCCCCAAGCACCAGACAGCAGGCTAAATCCAGCAGCAACACAATATCACTCGAGTTCCTGCAACGTCTGAAAACCCAGACCAGTGCCAGAGAGGTCACACATGTGGTGGGGCTCCATGCTACTCTCCTAATTTCCTCCAGTGCAGCTAATCGCAGAAGGGCCAGAAAGTGTCCCAGGACTCCGAACAAGCATGTTTAGGAGCCTGTTAGAATATGCCCTCATAACAAGGTTTATTCAAAATATTGTACAATGCACCAGCTCAGGATTGCGAAACTGAGAGACTGCCAACAGCCTTACCTATTGGCTTTAGGACTTGGAACTGCTGTGTGTTTCTGTTTTTGGCCAAACAGATGCAGTCCTTCATAATGAATGCCTTCCTGTTCATGAGTACGTGGACTGAAAGAGGCAGCTGAACAAAGACTGTGTTGAACTGTAATTCAGTGTGAAAACCTCTACATTCCAATAACAAGGATATCAACATATATAATTGAAACCACAGGATAAACGTATTTAGGTATGAAGAATCCCATTCACCTTGTTGTGTAATGAATGAAAATCGGTAATTATCTGCAGATGAGGTGCATTTCTAAAAACAGGCTCAGTGTAGTTTGGCTTCAGCCCAGAATTATTTTTCTGTTATCACTAGATTTACTGAGCTATTTTTTTCTCATTTAAATAAAACCATGTGGGTCAAAAACAAAAAAAAGATAGTTACTTGTTTTACTTTCACAATAATATTGATCAACAATACTTATCTGTATCCTTAAAAGCAGAGGTGTTTGTAGTATCCAAGGCTTTTATTTAGTATTTTGTTCAATCAAATAATAGATGTGTCTAGTTACAATAATGGGTCTTCATTTTGAGGACCCAAGAACTTATTTTTCCTCTCAGTTTGTTCAGGAACCTCACTCTATCAAATTACTAACAGAGCTTAACATCAAAAGCTGCGATGCACTTTATTACTCTGTGCTAACTGTGCTAACAATACTACCCTCCCGCCTCCAGGCTCCAGGCATCTGGCTTGCCCAGAACATTCCACAGCAAAATATCTGCTCGGGAGAGTGCAGAAAGGCAGGGGTTTTTGTCATCTTAAGGAGAAGAAAATTAAAAAAAAAAACTTCAACTTCCCCCCCCCTTCCTAGTCCCTGTTTGAGCCTGGTGCTGCTGGTGGTTGATTCTGCAGCTCGTTCAGATAACATGCGTTCTCTGTTTTTGTTCTCCTGGTCTTCCAGTTTATTATGCATTCAGCTCATGTGTCCTCCTGCGAGTGGCTGTTCATTTTCCACATACCACGCTTAATCCTGCCAGCTAAACTTTGAAATAGCAGGAGCTGCTGCTGCCCAAGAGAAGCCATTATGAGGTCAGGGAGAAAAAGAGACTGATAGAGCTTGGGGGAGGAGTGACAGGCAAACAGTAAGATACATGGGAAGGAATTCAAAAAGGTTGAAAATGGAATAAAAGTGCGAGTGTGTGTACGAGAGAGAGAGAGTATCAGTAGGCATGTGTCTGTGTGTGCGTGCATGAGGGCTGAGGGTGGGTTGAACAGAAGGTTGTCTGCATCAACATTTTTTCAGCCGTTGTGCATAACTGACCTTTGGCTCTTTCTAACCTTGCCTTGTAGTGGAGGGCAGCGCAGGCAGATGTAGAAAGGCTCACACCCAACACAAGCTGGACAGCCGTGTGCTTGGGGAGTGGTCAGGAAGCATGTCACCCTTTCTAAATTTGTATGGCCAATGTCAAAAGACACGGGGGAAAAAAGTGTTACACTGTTGCGAGTGTAGTTGGCAATAATGACACAACTTATACATACAGTACATCTAGAAAGAAGGGTATTTAGGCTTTTATGTCACTGCTTTTCAAAAACAAAATCTTCACACAAAAAAACACAGAAATCTCCAGATATAGCAATTCTTTAACAAAACATCAGTGATTCCTGTTATCTACAAGTACATCCATTACAGGCTTAACAACTTGAAATAAATTACTTTTGTGTGCTTGCCATCAAATAGCATTTAACTGCTGTTAAGTGCTCTGTGGCTGTTGCCATGTGTGTGCGCTTGCATTAGGATTTTCTTATCATAACTAGAGAAGAACCTAAAAATCAGTGAATACTTGAAGGACAATCCTCTCCTTTGGAAGATCATTCAGTTAAAAACAACAAAGAGGGGTGCTCTGAACAAATTTCTCTTTATCTGTGACAAAGTTCAATGTCCATCACTAAATGTGAGAAGGGAGGATTTGTCAGGGGTGTCCTGCGCACTTGGCCATGTACCAAATCTGCAGATCTGCAGGAGAAACATCTTCTTCACCATGAGACGTTCCTGTGGAAACTGCTGATGGTGAGAGGGATTCTAGTTTAATCAATAGGCAACATACACGGTTGAAAATCTCCTTTACCAAGAGATGGGGGACATACACAACCTTTTCAGAAGCACAGGGGAACAGAAGGGCCACATCCTTTCCCTCCAGCACTTTATCAGAAGGAATGCACTTTTCTAATTTGCTTGAAATTGGCTGCCACATTTTGATTGTCCTCCTGTCCTTGAATCTCAGAGGCTTTCTGTGCGCCAATGACTGGGGTTAAGAAAACCAGTCAGTACTAGCAAGCACTGACTTCAAAACTCCCCTTCTTAGAGAAAGTTAATTACACTTACAGTGTATATAGCACTTTTGTGGACACTCCACTCAAAGCTCTTTACAGGTAATGGGGACTCCCCTCCACCACCACCAATGTGCCCCACCTGGATGATGCAACGGCAGCCATAGTGCGCCAGAACGCTCCCCATACATCAGCTCTCAAGGGAGGAGCACAGAGTAATGAAGCCGGTTAATAGATGGGGATTATTAGGAAGCCATGATTGGTAAGGGCCAATGGGAAATTTGGCCAGGACGCTAGGGTTACACCACTACTCTTTTCAAGAAACGCCCTAGGATTTTAATGATCACAGAATCAGGACCTCGGTTTTATGTCTCATCCGAAAGACGGCGCTTTATTACAGTATAGTCACTATACTGGGGCATTAGGACCCACATAGGCCGCAGGGTGAACGGCCCGACTAACCCCTCTTCCAGTAGCAACGTTAGTTTTTCCCAGGCTCATACCTGCTGAGCTTCAGTTGGTTGTCAGTTGTGAGTTGCAGGGTGATATGGCTTCTGGCTATGGCTATTTTTTTCGCCCTAAGAAATAAACACCTGTAATAAATCTGGCTTGATTTAAAAAAATATTTTTCCTAAACTTACAGGAACCTACAGGATTTTGGGGCACAATATTTCTAATAATTTTTAGAATTTAATTCACTGATTGAAATTCTTGCAATAAGAATCAATCTTCTGCTCTCCAAAAATATTATAAAGCAATGTTGCAAATTCAGGTCAAACAATTTGAATGGACAGAAATGATTCCCTCTAATACGGACTAATACGTTTCATAGCAGTCTGTCTTATTTTATATAATCTTGCAAACCTAAAAATAGCTGATGATGAATACTGTAAGTTCTGGTTGTGTTTTGCCACTATGCACAGATTTACTGTGTTACGTAAGTCAAAACTGCATCTGTCATATGCCAAATTAAAAAAATAAACACACAGAACATACACTTGGTAGGCTATGTACTCCCTGTAATAAAGTCAAAATACTTCATTTAATTCCACACATCATTATAAAAACAATCAGAACTATGTAGTAAGACTAAAGTCATAAAGTAAGGATGCCTAAAAAAACATAATGAAGGTTAGAATACCACCCTTGTCTGGATACAGCGTTAACACCCACTTTTTTGTGTGGAGGTGAATGTTTATCAACTGTGTTAGAAGCTGCGTGGCTAATAAATGACCAGACTGGGCTGACCGGTCAGTGTAACTCTAAGCTTACAGGCACACCTCCAGATAAACTGTGAGCAGACTTACAGGAGCAGTGACTGCTGAATAGGTAAGCTGAGAAATTCCATGTCCTACTGTTTCAGTAAGTGAAACTGCTGAACCATCAGCTATTACACACTTCCACAGGTCATGAATCTTACCCTGCACCTTAGCGGGGCAGCGTGCATGATGACTCTCCGGACAAAGCCCGCCCTCCTGTACAAATCTGCTGTACATTGCAGCTAGCCCACACAGCACATGTCCGGACAAGTGACGTATTATAGACGCAGCTTTCATGTCAGAAGGGGCCAGCCTCTGATGTGAAAACTTATTCAATTTAATCTTAAGATTCTTTTAGCGGGGTGGAGGAGTGGTTAGGGCTCTGGATTTGTAACCGGAGAGCCGTGGGTTCAGATCCCTAGTGGGGCTCATGCTGTACTCATAAGCATGATGCTTCACTCAGAAATGTCCTGCTCCAGTACATACCCTCACGTAGAGATGGGTACAAGTGTAAATTAGGTCGGATAAAAGCTTCATCCAAATATTTCATTCTTCGCTAGTTTTTTTTGGGGGGTGGGGTTCATTCAAGAAAGTGATGCTCACATCCCTTAGCCGATACAGAATAAACAGGGGTTCGGGATCAATGAGTTAATTCAGACAATGAAAATGATCAAACCGGAATAAGACTGATCTTCAAAAGAAAATCTGAGTGAAGTCTGCATGGTGTTTATGCTTCATGCGTATTATAACATCATATCAGGCAATTTATACCATTCACGTTCCAGAAACGGATTTCTGTTTCAGATGTCTTGTTCTGCTTCTATAAATATACTAGTTGCATTTAAAAAAAAAGTCCAGAATCAGTCATTTGACCAAACTGTCACGGGAGCGATTTGAGGTGAAGACATGCAGAATTCAGGAAGACTGATGTCTCGGCTTTCCTTTTGTACCCAATAGTTGCTACATTTTTACATGACACAACGCCAACATTTTGAATTTGACTACAACTTGACAACATGAATGGAGGTTGTCTGTAATATGTCATGGCTTTCAACATTGCTGCGTGTGTCCAAAGTGCTTGTGAGCTAATTGCTAAAATCCACTATCGTGTGCAAATGTGAAAGCAAATCATCTGGAAAGCAGGGATAATCTGTATTTTCCAGTTTTCAGATGGAATTATGAAACCCTTTATACTTAATTCTACTATCTAAAATCCAAACAAACCATATCCTAGAACATCTAGGGATTCAAGGCCAATTCTGATTTTTATACAAATCTTCATTTTCAACTTTAACATTCAGCAGAATCTAAGTGTACACTAATGAGATTAGTCAATAATGGATTGAAAGTAACCTCACACTTAACACATGGTCCACTAGCTGTGTGAGCCTGCTGCGTCAGCTCCACAGCCCCCACTGCTCAATAAGGAGACGCACTGTCAAAGAGCAGCTGCAAAAGAGCACAAGACAAATGCAGGAACTTGAGCATTGGGCTTTTAATGCAGCTCAAACAACTAAAATCTCAACCATCACAACAGTACATGCTAGTATGCACTTAACAAGTGGGTCAATATTAACATGCAAGAAGTCATTTGATCTTTGGCTGCTTCTTAATAATGGTTATGTTGTCACCTCTGCAGTTTACTGGCAATTACGTACATTACTGCACAGTAAGGCTCAAAAAAAGGTAACAATGTATAAATATATATTTAAAGCATCTGAGTGCATTTTACCTAACCAAAATGTTCTTAGAAAAAATGTCATAAAGAAACAGTGGAACTGCAATGAAACCTAAAAAAAAGTCCATTAGACTGAATGACATGAATTAGGGATTTTCCTTTGCTTTTAATTTACAGTTTTGGTTTGGCACAAAATGGTTTTTGTGCAGACATCCCCCAAAATTAAGCCGCGGCACCTTTGCAGGGGGACCTTTTATTCCAGTCTTTGATCTGGGAAGGAAAACGAAAATCAAAAACATTTTCCGATCAATACTTGACTCGCTGCGTTTGTGGCGAGTGATATCAAACATGTCGCCTTTGCGAAGGGAAAAGAAATCAAAGCAAACAGAGTCACGCCGAAGTGTCTGCGGATGGTGAAGAAAAACAAGTGCCCAAGACTACACAGAGGCACGACCACACAGCTCTCCAGCTGAATCAATCCAGCAGACTGCAGCTCATCCCTGTGGATTAAGATTTAAATTGGAGCCGATCTAGTCTGTCACCGAAATGGACAATGCATCCTTCATGCTGTAAGCGAGGAACTACCATTTTTTTCCCAGGATAGCTAGAGCTACCTTCCAAACTCGCCCACAAAAAAACAAAGAAGAAGCCAAGACAGCGCAGTGTGGGTTATTCTTGCGATAGGCTGTGATTTAAGCAAGTGTACATAAACGAAGTGACCCTGAGAGGCAGGAAGAAATAGACAACTGTCATTAATCACACTCAGGTGTCCAAAACATTGTCAGTACCCCCTCCCCCATGTACACAAACGCATAAGGCAAACAAATTCACAAATTCCCTGAGCAAGATGAAAAAAATGGAGATCTTGTAATTACTTGTGATGTGCACTTTTTTTTTTGCTGAAACGGTTATGCTTCTATTAAAATAAAGAGCAATTGCACCGTGTTCTCCAGCTGGCTTTGTTACGGTTTCAATCACGCTGTCTGTGCAGCAGAGTTACTGGAGTATTGTAAAGGTTGACCTTTGGTAATTTGTTTTATCCTCACAGACACCAACATGGTGCAATCTAGCAGGTAAACCAATTACAATTTGACATGAATCACCATGACGAAAAGCCTCCCAAGACTGCAATTTCCCTATTATTAGCAATGTGCCTGATTTCCCTTTTAGAAAGGCACCTTGTCCCTGACTCCCAGCATGTCAGTACAAGTGCTTATCATTAGCCGAATGACTGATTTACCTGCACTGTACCACACTTAATGCTGTTCTTTCCCTTCTCCCTCCCGTACTGTGACTGCTTCTTTTCTTTTTCTTGTTGTTTTTTTCCAAGAGGATATCATTTCCAGCGAAGGTCTGCAGATAAACTCCAGCTAAAGCCTCCTAATCTGATAACAGATGACACGGGTGACTGAAAGCATCATGCGAGCACATAAACGAACAAAAATTATAGACTGTGTATAAACTGTACCTTTGCTGCAAGCAGAAAACTCTACATTCCACTGAGTATCCTACAGGACTCTTAACACTGTGCTGTCCTTCATTTTATCCACAAAGACCATTCTTTCTTTCTCTTTTGCACACAACCATAAAAAAGAACGGGTGAAAAATTCTGTTATTTTCCCAATACAGTCCCACAACCCCTTTATTTAAAAACAACAGCTTGTTTAGCATTCATTACAAATACTCCAGGGTAGTGTTCGTACTCCTGTCTTCAAACTACAATTTAATGGATGCTTGAAGCTACATACACAAACCAGCATGCCCTTTTCTCATTCTTTCAAATAATACAGACTGTCAGGCACTGTCTCTATAACTAGGCTAGTGATATCATTATTATACTGTATCGTCCTGATAAGAAATAAATTATGTATTGTTATTGATTGGTATATGCCTTCCCAAAGGAAAATAATTCAGTGAAAAATCAAAAACAAAACAATTCTACTTGTTACATGCTCGTATCATCACCTAATATCTTTGAAAAGGAATTACTCTGCAGAAAAAGCAGTTTTAGATTCAGTAAGTAGCCATTTTTACTGTCTGGCTTAGAAGGTACTTTGTTCATCTACCCTATTCTCTGGCCTAAAACCAGCCTACGGCCTCAGATGGCTGTCACCATGGCAACTGTGTTCATTCAGTACTTGCAAATAATGAAGACAATGTGTTTTCCATTTAGATGAGTTTTTAGAGCAAGAGATATAGAGAGTCCATCTTAACAACTCTTTCATTATAGGCAAAATAAAAACCTGTTTTTTTCCCTTCCTGAAATAGGAGAGTAAGCCTGGCACCTTCAACAAAAATTAAAGTTAAAAAAATGAATTTGAGGTGAGTCCGAAGTCAATATTTTCTCAAAAATATGGCCAGTCCTCAGAAGAGAAACAGAGAAATTTAGAAGTCTTAGATCAAGTCAAGAATTTTCACAAAGTGTTGCTCCAAAAAAAGTCAAACCACAGAGCCCTTCACTGTTCTCAGGAAAATAAGGATGTGTCATTTCTGTAAATGTTTAGTGCAAGTTCTTTCTTTTTCATTGCAGACCTTCTACTGACACTTACTGGAGTGCGTGAGAGACACAAAACAACCTAAAATTGCATTCAAAAGTGCAAACAACACATAAAATTTTGTCTTATATATAGACCTACATTTTATTAAGAACATAAATGAGACAGACTCTGACCAGGAGTAGTCATTGCTACGAAGATGCAAATTTACAATCAACAAACCAAGGCACATACTGTAAGGAAGGAAAATGTTTTGAGTCTGTAATGGCAAAAGACAAACGGATCTAGATCGATATTCCAAAAATAAATCATAAAGCAAATTTAAAACAGCACAACTAGTGTCTGGCATTTCTAAATTCAGAAACATGATTAGGCATGGCAATTGTTTTTTGTCAAAGTAGAATTAAATAAATCTTTGCACATGTTTTTCAGTAAGCCATCTGTATACTGCTGCTGAATGAAACAAGGTGTTGTGACAGTCGCATCCACTCTTAAACTTTGTTTATTTTAGATCAAAGGTTGACTTTGTTCTGTACATAAATCTACAAAGAGTTTCAGCGTTTTAATGAAAAAATTTCTAAGTTCCAAAGCACCTATTATGTACAGTATATGTTTAAAATCTACATACTGACTTTTACTCTAAACTATAGCTCCTTAGTAATTCTAAAATGAAAACATATTATAGTTTATATCTAGTAATAACGTGCTACTAAATGCAACCAAAAGGCTCCCTCTTCTAATAAAAGTTGCAGTTCACATAAATTCACAACAAGCTCCTACATTGGAAAGCCAAATGAAGGCCCCACCAAAAACCAGGGAGAAAATGGAAACTGTTTTCTGTGTTTACAGTGGAAACAGTGAGTCTGGGAGAATCTCTTCAAGTCTCTTTTCCACTGTTTATACAGAGCAGCAAGGACCAGCACTTCCTGAAAGGAAAGCCAGCTTTCCAGGCTGAAATGAAATCCAAGTTTTACAAATCTGCAGACAGGAAACATTGTGTTTTCAATTTTCATTTTCCACTCCTAGCCCAGTAAACACACTCAGGTCACTTTTCTTTAGGAGGGGAAAACTAGTCTTTCCTACCTTCTCCCTCAATTAAATGTTGTGCAAACCTAACTAGTTTTCTTGTCATGCAGTGTAATGTAAAATTAGCCACATTTACATGTCAAGACCAATTTTCTCCTAGGAAACTCAATAAGAAAATCAATTCTTTGACGTCTTAGCTTTTAAAATCCCAGCTTGCTCAAGTTTTGGTCACACTACCACCAGCACAGTTTAAAAAGCAAAAAATTGGAATCATCATGTCTCTGTTTTATGTAGATTACAAGTGAATTCACAGAGACAAGATTTAGTCAACAAAGAAGAGGCAAGTATTTTCCCAACTACAAATCAGAAACTTTTCGAGTCAATTTTTAGACAGCAAACAGTATAGTCTGATTATCTTCCAGGAACCTGGATCCCTAACAGCTTAAACAACAAACACAATGAAAGATTCACAGCAAGACAAGTTCTGAAACACAGCATTTCATATACCGTTAAATGCTCCGTGTCATATCAGGACCAGTATTGTTGTGAACATGAAACCACATGGAAAACACGGAAACCTACAATGCTGGCAAAAACCCTACACCCTTCACACAGTATCTGTTGTACAAATTAAGTTCAGCAAAGCTCCCAGATTCATTTGGTGTACTTAACTAAGGTCCTGGGTATAGAATAGAATTAATCAAAATCAATATTCAGTCCACTGGGTTGTTGTATCAAGGAAAGCTGTTGTGTCCTTGCCTCTTAGAACCTGTTCATTTGTCCCAGCAGTCTTACAGCTGAGAGACACAGAATGTCTGTCCTGTCATTACCTTAACTTCCAGACTAAATAAATACATTATGCCTTCTGCAAACACAGAAAGTTTAGCATTCATTACAAATATTTCAGGGGAGTGAAAAGGTTTCCATTTCAGCACAAATTTGGCCTTTTCAAACAAATACCTGGTAAAAATTATAAAAAAAACTTAAGATAAAAGACTTCCCCCTGACTGAAAATATTATCAACTATACTACAGGCAACAACAAAGAGATACAAAATTATCTAGAACTGATACTGGAAAGTAAAAGACCTCATTTATTATGATGAATGATTTGGGTAATTAACATTCAGTTCAGTACCCTACACATATATTGAAAGGACGTCTGTAACCGATTCAAAAAGAGCATGGATTAGACTGTACCAGTTTCAAACCAGAAAGTATCACCCTCTGTATTTAGAACTTCAGATATGC